ATCATAACCGGCCACATAAGCACTGGTAGGTATCGTACTCTGAGTGGCATTTACCCAACTATTGGTACATTTAGCTATAAATAAATATTTAATTTTATTAGTATAATTTTTAAACTGTAATTATTTAAAATTATTACCAAAATAATATATTCATTTTTAAAAATGATAATACTACTGTGAAATGGTCTTGCTGGTGAAAAGTGTATAAATATTTATTACTTTTAAATTGTAATTAGAATTATTAATATTGAATTATACGAGCTACATTAGAAATAGAAATATCATATATTTATCCCTAATAATTTAAATAATTTAATTTTATAAATCATAATTTGTTTTAAATTAAAATTTTATATAAAATTTTTGGGCTTTATTAAATTTGTTTAAACATTTGGAAACTTTTCTCAAACTTATTTTGTTATAAATTATATTATATGTTATTTTTATATTATTTGTAATGATTTATACCTTCTTTATGATAGTCGCCATTAATGGTGAGAATATACGTCCGGATCTGTTGTGGGGATAACTTGACGATAAGGTCACCCTCAACAGCACCGTTACCTCTGATGTCGAAACTCGCGGCAGAACTCTGTTTTGATATCCAATCCATGCGTTTAGTCTCAGACAACAACTCATTGGCCGCTAAATTCATTTCGACTGAATTCACAATTTTCAGAGTTTTCAACACTTTTTGCATATCAAAGGACACGTCCTTAGGCTGGGGGCTGTTATCCGACTTTTCGTACATGTGCTCAAACCTCACCAACACCTCCCTGTCCGACCACTGCTCTAATGTTAACAAATGGACCGATTCTGGGAGGGAATCGCCGATTGCCGACAAATGGGTCACGAATTTCCCGGAATATTCCTCACGAGTCGTGTATTTATCGAACGTCTCGATCGCACCCATAAAGAGCTGCTCAGACAGGGGTCGCACCAGTTGTGGGCTTTGGGTAATGGGTTGGAAGAGCAGGTAGTGTTTGCCCCTCACCTCCAGTCCCTTACCATCGACACCCGGCTCATCGATCATAAAGTCACCGCCGGAACCTTTGCGATCCAGTCGTCGGTGAACCATGAGTTCAACGGCGCCCTCTGTTAGCGATGAGCCTCCCTGTGTCCGGTCGTTTAGGACAGTCATCTGTAAGCCTTTAATAAAACTTTAAATTAATTATAATTATATAAATACTTTGTTAAAATGTTTAAAAATCATTGATGTTACTAGATGATTTATATCGTTATTTAGCATGTTTCGTATATTCAGAATTTGTAATGAAAACTGTAATTAAAACCTGATTTTAATTACTAAATTACTGTACCTTAGATAGCGTTATAAAACTTATTGAATGTGTTTGGATTTTTATCAAATATGTTAAATTAATTTTTATTACCTTGCTAGCGCAGTAGATATTAAGTAGTTTTAAAATATATAATTTAAAAATGTATATATTTTAATATTTTAATATTGAGCACCTATTGCAATAATCATTATTAAATACATTAATAAATTATGTGACTGAAACACTTACCCTGGTTAACATCCTGGACTGATATCTGTTTATATATAGGGAACCAATTGCCGGATACGACTTTCCCAAAACACGACTCCCTTTTCGGGTCAAACTTCCGGTGTATAGACTGTCGCCCATTAGAGTCCGTCACAAACTGTCCGCCGGTTTTCAAATCGGACTCAAATCGGGTTATAATCTCTTTACCGATCCTATCATCGATAGGAATACCCCCTGCCGTCCAATCAAACTCAATGTAGTCCTGGTCCTCATACGTACGTATGGTTTGGTGGATATAGTCTGCAAACACTTGGTCCAGCTCATGTACCCCACCGTCCGTATGCCGGGAGACCAGCTTTTGTTGGCCGTAGTCCCGGGCGTCACCATCGGGACAGAAGTGGTAACTACCGGAGTCTTCGGGACCCTTATCCCATGATTTGTACCATTTGAAAGACTGTTTCAGGGTATGTGTCGTGCCGTTTAGGGTTATGGATTGTATGGCACCGGTAGTCTCGTCCACTTGCAGTGTAAATGATTTGCCTTTCATTTCAATGGGTGCCCGACGTTGACGGGTTAGGGCTGCCATTAGTAGGTCTGGAGTGAAACAAACAAAATAATTATAAAAAAAGTTACATAAAAATGTTAAAATAACCTTTATGTTTGAACTTACAATATTTTAACTGTAACTAACTACATTACTAATGTAACCAAATACATAATTACTGTACTTGATAAATTAAAATGTATCATTCATTTAATTTATGTGCTTAATTTATACATTTTATTATAAACCTAAATTTAATTAACATATGACTGTAATAAAACCTGCAATTAACAACAATAAACTATTTATATAACGTCTAAGTTGCCGTCATCATAAATGTATTAAGTACCAAGTAAATATTTAATTTTTATATTTTAATAACTTTAAATATTTATTAAACTACACATACTTTTATCGCTTTTCTGTTTCTCAATGAAAAATGTCGTGAATCCGAGCGCAGGTAACTGTCCGTTGAAAATAAGTTCATGAGTTCCGGGACTGCCATTCCTTTCGGGCAGTTGTCTCACGGCATCCGACACCGGAAGCAAAGCCTTAACCTTAACATCAGTACCGTTGGCATCGACTACAGTGTACTTCCCGTCGACCACCGGTACCCTAATATACTGACTCATAGGTCGGGCGATCGGGTTATAGACAGTGACGGCAATCCTGTCGTTAGTCTCCGTTAGACTGCAATCCGTTATATTCAGTGAATCGCAGAAAACTTCGCTTAAAACCGCTTTTTTCTCGTCCTTTGACTTCAAATACTCGAAAGCCTTTTGAATGACTCGTTTACTGGCGGCGTATCCCGACTGCAGTCGACTCGTGTAGTCGTTGGCCGTAGCCTGCGGTGACGTACCGGTGATGGCGTCGTGATGTGTCATCACTGCCACCTCATTACTCGCCTCATCCATGTAGGCCCTGGTGGTCAGGGGGTCTAATCGGGCCAATACTGACAACTGTTTGCTCGCCTATTATATGCATACATTTTACTCTTATGAACTTTAAGCACTACAGGGTGTTACAGGGTGTACAGCATATATTTTACAACAAAAAATTGTCATTTAAAAATGTAATTTTAAATATACTTTTATAAATTATTTGTCTTATTTATGGATTGAGTTATATAGTTATAATTACATTTGAAATGGCCTTAATTCTTGTTTATGTTATACATTTTTATTTTATATTTTATAAATATTTATAAATACAGTACTGTTGTAATCTTAGTAACTTCACTAACCTGGAGTATATTATTTGTAATCCTATCCTGGTACTTCAGCGCCGGTCTGTTAGAATAATACCCCACCCAATAGGACAGGTAGTCTACCGCCCTTTCCTCAAACGTTATGTTCAATCCATTAATGGCTTTCACATAACAATTAGGCGTTGAGTACATGAGGTTCACTTCCGGGTGCCGGACCTTCGCCTTCTTAACCATGCGATCCATGCTTTCAAACCACGTGTTCGCCGTCTTATACTCGAAGTCCATACCCATAGTCACCAACACGTGGTTTGTGTTTCCGTAGGCCTTATTCCAGTTGATGGCGTTATTTATGAAATCCCGGACCTTTTGCTCAGCGTTAGCATCGGTGACGGCGTTATTGCCGTTTTCAAAGTCATACCCATTGGGAGCGTTGTAGTGGTCGTGCAGTACGGTTGAGAAGATCCTGGTGTTCAGGTCCCGGGAGGCGTCCCATATGTACTCACCCTTGTTCACGTTGGGTCCCCGGTTGACAACGTGGGCGTCGAACCCCATTTGGGCGTATAATGAGGGCATTTCCAGGGAGGCGCCAAAGGGGTCAATTTGCCAGGATACTTTTGGGTGAGCGCACTGACCGAACGTTTGGTTTAGAAATTTTAACCCTGTTATTGGTGTTTTAAAATTGGTAAAAAATAATTTTATTTTATATGTTATATTAGATAATTTAATTATATTTTGTAATATGTGTATTGTTACTTAAAATTATTTCCATCAATCAACCAATTATAGCTTAGTGAATTATGTTGTAATATTAGTATGTCAATTATTAATTTATGTACAGTATCATAATTTAAGTTTATTTTATTTATATGGGACACTGTACTTTTAAAAGCATTAAAATTTATAAGTAGTAAAATTATTTATAGAAATTAAAGTAGCTACTGAGTTGCTATTTATGTTATTAATTTAATCAAGTAAATAATTTATATTTAATATTAATGTCTACTAAAGTGTCAATTATTAAATATTCATAACTTACCCAGAGTCAATTGATCAATAATATTATTATAATGCGCGGCACCCTCATCATTTACTGTCCAACCACCATTCGTAAACACCAACCTGCCCTCAGCGACAAGTTTTCTAACTACATCCCGGCGCTCATCTGTCTGCCCACTCCACCACCGTTGGAAATAATAAATTTCCACCTGGGTGAACCTACGCTCAACATTTCTCTCCAGTTCCTTCACCACATTCGTGATGATCTGGTTGACAGAGCTATCGTAATATCCGTCAACCGTTTGCATCCAACCCACGTCGTCGTGGGAGTGGGCGATGAGATGGATGTTTAGCTTATTGGGGTCAGTCTGTGGACAGGCATCATAGCCACACGTTCCCGACACCCTTTCCCATAAGCCTACGCCTATAGTTAGACTAAATAGGAGCAACATATGATTCATGACTATTTTCACAAGCTCGTTTTTATTAAATAGTAATTTAAATTAATTAAGCTAAATTTTTTTTTTATAAATGATATGTAAATATTAAAATGAATGATTATACTGGTATATTTTTACACAATGTTTTATCGTTAAGTAGACTTACACATTTAGTAGATTACCAGGATATTGGGATAAATTTAATCCCCTAGGTATGCGATGTTATAAGGCGTAATCCACAAAGTACACACGCACGCCTAAGGAGAGGGGGGTTGTGGCAAAAATGTATTTAAGCTTATGTTATGTAGTGGAGCGGGTTTTGGCATAATGTATGAAAGCTTAAAGGGTGTTAGATCTATGACCAGAGGTTATTGAAAATATTATTTGATAACCACTTAGGCGTTGTTCACATGTACGTAGCACTCTGATGGATGGGTCATGCCAATGGGTATGTCACCATGTTAAACTCCTATGTATAATAGGCGTGCAGGCGGGAGGGTTAATTTTTGCGTACGTACTTTGTAAACGCCTCCTTAATTCATTCCTCATGAAATAAAACGTCAAAACTTATCTTAATATGTGGTATTCAGATTTGGAAGCTTGACAGTGAACAGGGTCTCTTTTTTTAGATAAGGATTGTACTTTGACCTTCAAAGTTATATAAATCACCCTGCCAATTAATTTGAAAATTGTCTATTTATAATTGTGGGAAAATGTTTGTGTCAGGGCAATAAGTGCAATATTTGTTTGTCAATAAAATATTAATAAAATGTTTGTAAGATTATATAGTAGTTTATTGATTTCTAGTTAGTAACATAAAGTTTTCACAATTAAAACATTTAGAATAAGTTATTAAATGATTGAGAAATTAAACATTTATATTGCAATTACAGTGTTTTAGAAATAGTGCTCTCTATACAGGTGTTAATGTTTTGAATTCATTAGATCTAGATATTAGAAATTGTAGTGATTTTAAGAATTTTAAATCAAAACTTTAAAAATTGTATTTTAAAAACTAATTTTATATATATTTGTTATTTATTTTAATTGTATTTTTTCAGAGGTTCGCACAGAATATCAACTTTAGTTGAGTGCACGACCTCTTAAAACAACAATCAATTCAAATTCAAATACAATTTGCACTAATAGTTTAATAATAAATATAAAATGTATCTGAAAAATGTTGAATTTATTATAATTTAGATATTTTAATATTATTCTATACTTTAAAACTAACTAATTTTAGTAAAATGACACTTGGTAAACACATCGAGGTCTATATTACATCATAATGGATTTGTTAGTGCAGTATTAGTGTAAGCACCTGATTTAGTGCAATGTTAGTGTATGCGATGATAATTAATATATTAAAGTAAATCATATTATTAAAGCTATATAGCAAGTTAAATGTTTATCATTGACCGGTAAATACTTAAGTACTTAAATACTTTTGATTGTCAGATCCAAACAAACACTATATAAAGGTTAGAATTTTCTAATTTCTCACTGCTAAGATTACTTACAAGTGGTTTTATTATTGGGTTTATATTTGGCATATCTCATACTAAATAATAATATATTATTTAAAATATGATTAATACAATGATTTCTATACTTTCACTGATATTATGGTTAACTTTAAGCCAAAGTAATGCCAAAGAGATCAGTGTTTCGGTGGAGAAGGGAGTGATTGTCGGCAACACTCGGCCCACAATTGACGGCAAACAAGTGAACGAATTTCTGGGCATTCCTTACGCCAAACCACCCAAAGGTGACCTCAGGTTCCGGAAACCCGTTCCCACCGACAGTTGGTCTCAACCATTGGTGGCCGACAAGTGGCCCAACCCTTGCNTGACGGCAAACAAGTGAACGAATTTCTGGGCATTCCTTACGCCAAACCACCCAAAGGTGACCTCAGGTTCCGGAAACCCGTTCCCACCAACAGTTGGTCTCAACCATTGGTGGCCGACAAGTGGCCCAACGCTTGCTCTCAACTTCGTATAAACGCTCAATACTATCAAAACAAAAATGTCAGCGAAGACTGTCTTTACTTAAACATATGGGCGCCGACTGCCACTACCATGAGGTCAGGGGTCTCCGGACGTAATGCTAGCAAACAGAGGTCAACAACGAGTGGACGACAGTCAGCGGGACTTAAGCCGGTTATGTTTTACGCACATGGAGGCGGGTTTTCGGTGGGCTCATCCAGTGCGTTCAACTACAGGGGCGAAGTGTTAGCAACAAAGGGGGACGTGATTGTTGTTACCATTAATTACCGGTAATTAATAATTATTAAAATTTGTTTTAATACAAATATGTCTCAAATTAATAGATTAAATGCATTTGGATTCCTATATACGGGAACGGATGACGGGCCCGGAAATGTGGGTCTCTGGGACCACGCGCTGGCACTGGAGTGGGTGCATAAGAATATCAAAAGTTTTGGCGGAGACCCTGAGAAGATCACTATTTTCGGTACCAGCGCCGGTAGTATGACGTCCAGTGCTTTAATACTGTCTCCCATAACACGCAATCTATTCAAAAACGCTATATTAATGTCGGGGTCGGCGTTGGGTGAGGTGACGGGTAATCCGGATGATATGAAACAGTATTGGCTTCAAGTGGCAAAATACGTGAACTGTGTAGACGATGAAACACCCGGCACATTCACGCCTAAAGTCATAAACTGTTTGAAAGCTGTAGACCAGAACACATTGGCTACCTATTCATCGGCAATTGCATATCAGGCTGGAGGTGCCTTAAACCTTAAATCTTTTATGGTAGCCGACGGCACGTTTCTACCTAAAAAACCGCATGAAATGCTAATATCCGGGGACTTTCGCAAAGACATGAACCTAATGATAGGTAACTGCGAGGACGAGGGCAGTAATGTGTTGATGTTATTCGCCACGAACTTGGGGGAAGACCCCAAGAAGTATGACTCCCACAACCCGACGCCCATTACATACACGGAGGCCTACAATACCACGAAAAGCCTGTTCACGGCGTTGGCTCTGACGCCGAGGATTAATGGCGAAGATGTGGCCAAACTATACTTCACGGGTCTGTCCGCTAAGTCGGGTCAGGATGTGGTCAGACGTAGCATTGGCTACGCTATCGGCGATTATCTCATCACATGTCCGACCGTTTCGTTTGCGAAGAGTCTGTACAAAACGGATCCAAAGAGTAATGTCTATCAGTATTATTTCAATAGCAAAATCAGTGACTGGAATCCACTTTGTGGGCCATGGATGGGGGTGTGTCATACCAATGACGTGGATCATGTGTTTGGTATGCCATTCCTCGACACCAAGCGTTTTGTCGATAGGGAACGGGATATATCACAACAAATGATAGATATATTTGCAACGTTTGCTAGAAATGGGTTTGTCACCACAAATAAATTAATTTTTATTTTTCATTAATCTGACCCATAATTTTCTTTTATTGAAGTAAACCGCCGGCACAGGGAGGCTCCGATTGGCCCCAGTATTACACAATTGGTGGCAATACTGTTGCCCCGTATTATGAAGTGACAAATTACCCGAAAAACATTACAAATTTCAATACCGACCTTAAGACTCTAATGGGCGACAGTCTATACACCGGAAGTTTGACCCGAAAAGGGAGTCGTGTTTTGGGAAAGTCGTATCCGGCAATTGGTTCCCTATATATAAACAGATATCAGTCCAGGATGTTAACCAGGGTAAGTGTTTCAGTCACATAATTTATTAATGTATTCAATAATGATTATTGCAATAGGTGCTCAATATTAAAATATAAAATATATACATTTTTAAATTACATATTTTAAAACTACTTAATATCTACTGCGCTAGCAAGGCAATAAAAATTAATTTAAAATATCTAATAAAAATTCAAAACATTCAATAAGTTTTATAACGCTATCTAAAGGTACAGTAATTTAGTAATTAAAATCAGGTTTTAAATAAAGTTAAATTACAAATTCTGAATATACGAAACATGCTCAATAACGATATAAATCATCTAGTAACATCAATGATTTTTAAACAATTTAACGAAAAGTATTCATATAATAATTATAACTGTTTTTAAAATTTATTAAAGGCTTACAGATGACTGTCCTGAACGACCGCACACAGGGAGGCTCATCGATAATAGAGGGCGCCGTTGAACTCATGGTTCACCGGCGACTGGATCGCAAAGGTTCCGGCGGTGACTTTATGATCGATGAGCCGGGTGTCGACGGTAAGGGACTGGAGGTGAGGGGCAAACACTACCTGTTCTTCCAACCCATTACCCAAAGCCCACAACTGGTGCGACCCCTGTCTGAGCAGCTCTTTATGGGTCCGATCGAGACGTTCGACATATACACGACTCGTGAGGAATATTCCGGGAAATTCGTGACCCATTTGTCGGCAATCGGCGATTCCCTCCCAGAATCTGTGCATTTGTTAACATTAGAGCAGTGGTCGGACAGGGAGGTGTTGGTGAGGTTTGAGCACATGTACGAAAAGTCGGATAACAGCCCCCAGTCTAAGGACGTGTCGTTTGATATGCAAAAAGTGTTGAAAATTCTGAAAATTGTGAATTCAGTCGAAATGAATTTAGCGGCCAATGAGTTGTTGTCTGAGACTAAACGCATGGATTGGAAATCAAAACAGAGTTCTGCCGCGAGTTTCGACATCAGAGGTAACGGTGCCGTTGAGGGCGACCTTATCGTAAAATTATCACCACAACAGATCCGGACGTATATTCTCACCATTGATGGCGACTATCATAAAGAAGGTATAAATCATTACAAATAATATAAAAATAACATATAATATAATTTATAACAAAATAAGTTTGAAAAAAGTTTCCAAATGTTTAAACAAATTTAATAAAGCCCAAAAATTTTATATAAAATTTTATTTAAAACAAATTATGATTTATAAAATTAAATTATATAAATTATTAGGGATAAATATATGATATTTCTATTTCTAATGTAGCTCTTATAATTCAATATTAATAATTCTAATTACAATTTAAAAGTAATAAATATTTATACACTTTTCACCAGCAAGACCATTTCACAGTACTATTATTATTTTAAAAAATTAATATATTAATTTTGGCGATACTTTTAAATAATTACAGTTTAAAAATTATACTAATAAAATTAAATATTTATTTATAGCTAAATGTACCAATAGTTGGGTAAATGCCACTCAGAGTACGATACCTACCAGTGCTTATGTGGCCG